ATATATATATATATATATATATATATATATATATATATATATATATATATATATATATATATATATATATATATATATATATATATATATATATATATATATATATATATATATATATATAAGTCATATAAAATCAATAAAAAGAAAGATATGAGACAGTGGATAATAATAACTAGGTTACAAGTCTTCTCACCTACCATCATTCATTTTATTGTCTTGAGTAGTTTGGTTTTTATTTGACTTAATTTTTTTATACCAGATCTGATCTAGAATGATAAGTTTGATATGATCTAGTTAAATTATACCTTTAAATTTACTAAGAATCTCAAATACACATTCACAGTGTTGTTTGATTAACTAATTACGGAGTAAAATATTCGAGTACTTCGTACTATTTACTTTTTTTAATAACTAACACGTATCTAATGAGACTTATTTCTTCTAAACACTATGTGAATTCACATGACATGTTGTTTTAAAAGAAATCATCTCAAATAAAAATAAAATATAAAGAAAATATTAATATAGAAAATCCATATTTTTCATCCCAAAGTAGGAATATGTAATGTGATAACGTGTTACCATATATGAACATTTCACAATACTTTTTGGTATTATACATTTGCATGATTGACATTGTATATGTGTTTTGACTTTTATTTTAGGAATAAAAATAGGAATCTTCTATTTTGATATATTTGCTATATTTATTCATACTTTAATTTTTTTTTTCTTTTTTATATTTTCGTCACTTTCATAAACCCATGTTTTGTTCGAGAATAAAATGGAAGAAGAATCTATCACGGGAAAGAGAAAAAAGATATATACTTTCATAACGTTTATCGTTTTTAAAGAAATCACAATAAATATAAATAAAATATAGAAAAGTACTAAAATAGGAGCTCCATATTTGTATTTCAAAATAGAAATTTGTACCATGGTAATGTGACATTGTATATAGGCATTTCAAAATAGTATTTGGTACTCCCTCCGTCCCGCTATATTCGTCCAGTTTTGATTTTTGGAACTGTTCATCTAAGCACTTTGACTCATCAAATTCTCTCAATGCGTAAACCTAAATATAGTCATGCGTGATCTTGTTTAATTTATCTTAATATATAGATTATTAATATATAATTTCTATAATTTTTTAATATACAAATTACAAGATAAAATGGATTAAAGAAGTATATTGGATGGTGTGCAAAAATGAAAGTAGATAAATATAGTGGGACGGAGGAAGTAATGATTATGGTAATGATGGACATTGCATATGCACTTTAACTCAAATTTTTTTTAAAAAAACTTCCCAAATATTTTTTTTTTATTTAAGAAAAATGTTTGCATTACATTTTCAACATTTGAAATATAATCATCACTTTATTTTTACATTACACCTCATCTAGTACTCCATACAGTTCACTAAAAGTAATTTAATAAGTTTTTTCTTATTTAACTTTCCTTAAAAATCATAAAATATTGACTTGGAACGTGTTTTTATGGACGAAGAGAGTAGTATTTTTAAATATATTCTTTCTCAACCAAAAACAAAAAAAATTGTTATTTTTCTTGTCATTTTCTACTCATTCAAATGTTATAATCTCTCTTGATTTTCTATTATCCTCATTTTCTCTCTTCTAATTTTCTTTGTTCTTATTTTCTTTCTTCATCCCAACAAAACTTAATAAAGGTTACGAGTTTATTTTCTTCAACTTATTTTTATTTGAATCAGACTAGACCAAATCAGAACAAAAATAATTTTAAACATAACTTCAACAAATCCAGAAAAGGTTACAATTTATTTCAATCAGATCAGTTAAATAGAACAAAACATACCCCCATCCCATAATATATTTATTTAGTGAGATTTTTTGAGTCGAAAAAAGATACTCCCTCCGTCCTATAAAAATGTTCCTATTTTGACTTTGTGTAAAAATAAGGAAGTGTTAAATTATAGTTGACTTCCAATTTTGCCCTTGATGTAATAGGTAAAAGTAAGATGTGATGGATTGAGTATTTGAGAAAAAGTATGATGTGATTGGTAAAGTATGAAAAAGTAAGAATAAAAGTGGTTTTTTAATAAAAAGTAGAAGTATTTTGTTGGAAGTAAAAAAAATGAAAAAGGAAGAGTTTTTGAGAACGGAGGGAGTAAATTTTTATTATCAATAAAATAAAAATTGTAATGTATATTAGTAGAAAAATTATTTCTACGAACTTATTTTGTGGAAATTTTTAATATTTTTATTACATTAATATATAACTCAAATTTAATAAAACTATTGAAGATTAAGAAGATTAAAATTCATTTATCCAACAAAAATCAAAATGACATATACATCCCCCATTCTCCCTTCTGAATTTGTTCCACCCACCTGGTTTTCATCTTTTTTCCTATTTTTTCTTCTCTTTTCTTCTTCCTCTAACCATCTTCCTTCCGATCTGGTAGCTCTTGTTTCTTCTACGTTTTTTCTTTCCATTTTCTCCTTTCTTTTCTTCTCCAGATCTGAGAAATCTAATTCAGATCTGTGAAGAATTTTCTTCAAGTCTTCTTCATCTTCTTCCCACCTCTGATTCTTCACCAGCTAGAACAAGATGCTCGAATTGAGTCTGAAAGGGTACTCGCCAGAATTATGTCGTCGGAATTTCTCCCTGAAGATGCTGTGGGATTGGCGCTGGAATTTTTTCCGGAATTTCTCGCAAGTCACCCGAATCTGTGCTTGGTTATCTGATTGAAGATGCCGGGGGGATGGTGAGAGTGGGTGACAGAACCAATTGATGGTTCATGGCGGTGGAGAGGGAAGATAGGGGTGAGGGTATAATGGGAAAGTCAACNAACAAGATGCTCGAATTGAGTCTGAAAGGGTACTCGCCAGAATTATGTCGTCGGAATTTCTCCCTGAAGATGCTGTGGGATTGGCGCTGGAATTTTTTCCGGAATTTCTCGCAAGTCACCCGAATCTGTGCTTGGTTATCTGATTGAAGATGCCGGGGGGATGGTGAGAGTGGGTGACAGAACCAATTGATGGTTCATGGCGGTGGAGAGGGAAGATAGGGGTGAGGGTATAATGGGAAAGTCAACCCAATTTTCATCACACATAAAATTGCCTGCCCGGTCAAACCGGGAAGTTCTTTGGAAGGAGGGAGTATCCTTTAATATCCAACACATTCATCGCCATTGCGGTTAGTTGATTACGCAGAGTCGCCGACTGGCCACAGAGCGGTGTCGCCGCTCTGAATCTCATCTGTCGATCGATCGTCTTCCAAATCTTAGGACGAGATTAATCCGTACTTGTATAGGAGTAGAGTGACCGCTGTGATTTCGAAAATGTTAGCGCAGGCGCAGCTACTGTTCACGGTGGCTTTCGGGGAGATGACGGTGATACTGCTCCTCCTCTTCAAGACCCCTCTGCGGAAGCTGTTGATTGCCGCCATCGACCGGGCCAAACGCGGCCGCGGTCCTCTCGTTGTCAAGTCCGTCGGCGCCACTGTTCTCGTGCTCCTGATCTACACCGTTTACTCCATCAGGGACATCCAATCCCGGCCCCTCGAGAACCTCAATCCCACTGAGCAAGTCCTCCTTGCTTACCAAGTCCTTCAAGCCTCCCTCATGGGTCTCTCTCTCTATCCCTCTCGATTAATTGCCCCTTTTTGGTTGTGCTATGGCCCTCCCAGTTGTTTTTTTTGGATTTCTGGTTTCGATTTGATGTTTGCCTCTCTGGATTTTGAACTTATTTTGCCAGCAATTTTTGTTTCTTTTGCCCTCTGGATTGGGAACCTATGCATATGATCAAATAGTTGCCTTCAATATAAATCAATGGGGTCTGAAATTCATCATTTTTTATACTCATATTAAAGATAATGATTTCTAAACAAAGGGTACCTTTCTTCATTTACAGGTGTTTATCGCTTGTAGTTCAGAGGTGATTTTTCTACTGTGTTATATATCTTGTCTATAATAGTTCATTCTGCTGCCATGTTGGAAATAGAGGTTCTAGGAATGGAGGGCAAACATAGTTCTTTGACAATTTATTTGTGAATCCAAATCCCACTGTATTTTATACCCCACGAGTTCATAGTGCTGTAACTATAACCTCTAACTGTGCTAGAGTTAGGTATGGCTTACTCAAGGCTCTTAGCTTATACTCTGTAGAATGTATGTGGCGACCCTCGCGAGTCGGTGATAAAAGGATATATGCATGCCAATGCTTCTTTCCCTTATAAAACACCTACATTTACAAGTTTCTATAAACATGTGGTTTAGTCATATGCTCTTTGCTCATCTTTCTGGTGTAGGATCTTTAGTTTGTGGATTTATATTAATAGAAATTATTTTCCCTCAATGAAGAAAACGATTGTAGGCAATTTAAGTACTCTTGTTAAATTTGATTGTAAGTGCACTTTCTCTTCTCAATTCTGTGAATGATTCGGTGATGTAGCTTGTATAATATAGTTATACACCAATTACTATCACGGGTGATGTTTATTTTTTTTAAAGATCTATGAGTGATGTTCCCATTTTAGTTGGTGCTTGTGGGGTTATTCAAATTGTGTAGTTTGATTATGAACCTTGCATTTCATCATATTAGATTATTTGAAGTACGGAGTAGTATAAAGTTTCATAAATGTGATGCAATTGCATTTCCATCTCTAGCAATATCATTATTATAGCCTTTCATCTTTCAGCATTGTTTGCAAAAACGTTGGGCTGTCAAGGGGCTCTTGTCTAATCTTCACAGTTAAGTAGTGTGATTTGGTAAGCTAGATTTCATGATAGAGGGCCATTCGGTAATTTGACCCAACCTTGAGGGAGGTAGATGTAGTTAACCCTCAACTAAAACATTCCAAACTCTAATACTCTTTCCGTCCTTAACTTAGCACCCAGTTAGACTTGGCAGACAGTTTAAGAAAAGGTAAAAGCCTAGTTAATAGTTATTTAGAAGATAGAAAAACAATTTGAATAACATATATCGCTTTCCTTAATGGAAATTGCATGGTTCATTTAGAAGATAGAAAAATAATTTGAACAACATATATCGCTTTCCTTAATGGAAATTGCATGGTTCATTTAGGAAGTAACACTCCATAGTTTCTATCCAGTTCCTCTTTGTGATGGATGATCTAACAATATAATATCTGGTGCTTACATGCAGGGTTTGCACTGTTTCTTTCGCTTATGATAGACAGGCTGCACCACTACATAAGAGAGCTGCGCGTACTGAGGAAGGTTATGGAAGCTGCCAAGAAACAAGACCAAAGCTTCGATAACGGTAAGAGTGGTGATAAGGTCAGTTCCCTAAAAGAAGAGATATCCTCACTAAAGTCTAAGATAAGAGTGCTGGAATCAGAGCGCAAAGATGTGAGAGCCAATAGAGCGAATTCTGAGTCCCTTAAACAACAGTACGAGAAAATAGTAGACGAGTATGGGGAATTGCTGGAGAAGAATAAACATCTTCGAAGCCAATTGCGTGCTATTGGTGAAAAGTGAAAACGGGTCTCGTTCAGATAACAAGAAACTTGGGTTGTCATTGCTTGAGATTGATGGTGGTTATGATCTCTGGGTGCTGCATTAAGTTCCAACCAAAAAAACTGTCTTTCTTTTGATATATCATATTTATATTTCTGGGCGAACAATGAACATTGCTGTCTGTTTAATTATATGCATATATGCAAGTGTATTAAATTATCGTGTTTTTATGGATTTCATGGCTCTTGCTCATCAGTCTTCTTAGCTTTGCACCGATCATGATGTTGATGATGACGGTTTTTGCACCCTTCCTTCAAAATGTACATACTCATAAATTGGGTATGAGGCAAAAAAATTTATTTTTGAAAAACATTTTATTTACAAATTGTTATATCAATAAGATATAAAAATTACATATAAAAAATTATATTAAACGTTTTACAAAAGGAGAGATGACAAAAATATTTTATTTTATCAAATACTTAATAAAAATACATAAATAAATAAAAATTATCAAGAGAAGAAAAAAACAATTGTAATTCATTTTTGAGACGGAAAAAGTATAACATTTAAATCGTGATTTATCCCTTCATTACTTTGACGAGCCGGAGCTTTAAGGGTGGGGGTTACACCTTTCTTTTACGTATAACATTTAAATAAATCTTGGGGACGGGTTGACATCATGTATAGATGTGATCTTTTAGTGGCTTTTGACAAGATGGTTCTCTCTAGCGGTCACGTCCTGTGCAAGTTAAAATATTTGACCCATTGTCTAGGGCATAACTCAAGTGGTTAATATATTTGACCCATTGCCTAGGACAGAACTCAAGTGGTTAATGACTCTGTTTGGCATCAACATTAGAAGTTAGCTTTAGGGTTTTGAAAAAATTATCTAACGATAGCCTATAGCATAAATGTTTTCAGAATTTATCAATACCATTAAAATTTTATCTAAAACGCTGACGCTAATTGAAAACACTCTCCCCAAACAAGGCCAATATCAATTAAAAAATAGTATTGTGTTCGGTTTTGCACCCCATCACATCACGTGTGACTTAAGGCTTTTTTTAAATAAACCAATGATAGATCTACAAATGAAGAATTACAATAAATTCTAGGATAGAAGTTGTTGAAGAGAGAATTCTTAGGTTTTGTGCGTGAGGAGAGGCTTGATCACCCTCCACCATGCCCCTCCCTCCCTCATTACATATCAACGGTGAAGGAAAGTTGTCTCATTTTACTTGACCACCATCACGATTTCGCCCACCCATATTATTATTATTAAAAACTTTTATTTTGGACAAAGTGCTATGTTAAAAAATTCATTTGAATTTTTATTTTCAAATTTTCTTTAAAAAGAAAAATCGTTAAGGATAACACCGATTTGTTCAAAAGGTTTCACGAGAAGGATCGCGCGTCTTGGATAAAAAGACGCGATTGTGTCTTTTCTTCTCCACTGCAATTCTATATATTCCCAGAAATCTTTGGTCGAAGAAGAGTTTGAAAACTTCACAACAATCACATACTCGTTCTTGTAACTTTTGAGTTTTATCCGGTTGAATTTTGGATTGAACAACCAAAATACTCAATCTGAAAGTGATATACACAACTCTTGATTGATCTACATTATCGTTATTATCTCCAACATTGAGTCCACCAAATCCTAATACTAAGATGATTGCTACTTGTATTCCCTTTGTACAGTATCATGTATATGCTCTTTTTGTTCACAAATTATTTTCTCGTTTATTATTTATGAGGTCAAACTTTATCTATTTTTATGTCTATTTTTATTGTCAATTTCATAAAATAATATAGTTATGTCACATCTAGTTTAATACGGAGAAACTCTTTTGATGTATTTTTAAATATATACACCCCCGCCTATTTTTTATTTTTCCGCTTTGACTTTACAAGAAAATAAAGGAAAAATGAATTTTTTTAAACCTTTTTATACTTTCCATTTGGTTGTTGAAAAAAGTGAAATGAAGCATAAGGGTAGGTAGTACTCCCTCCGTCCGAAAATATTCTTCCTATTTGACTTTTCTTGGTCAAAGTTTGTAAACTTTGACTATGATATGTGGAAAAAATACATTGTATTAGGAAATAACTTTAATATGAATATATTCATTTTGAAATATAGTTTTCAAATATCAAATTTTTATAAAATATATCCATGTATAAATAAAGATATTAGTGGTCAAAGTGTAATCTTGGAGACCGTAAAAAGTCAAATGCGAAAAATATTTCCGGACGGAGGGAGTAATTAATACCGAGTATATAAGGGTGAAAGTATAGGGAAGAAAAACCAAAATAGCACTCTTAAAACCTTAAAATACTCTAAAGAGCAGTGCTATATGTTTCGTATCTGTGATTCTGATTCTGTCCTTTAATTAAACATCGACTATTCATTACACACTACCAGAAAATATGATGATTTTGGGCAGTGTGGTTGTTCACTTGTAACTGTGTACTGGGCAGTGTAGTTTTTTTATGTGAGTATTTAACATGGCAGTGTAGAATGGATATATGTTGTTATATCTTACAGCAGTGTGTAAGTGTATTATTGTGTTCCTTAATTTCATGTTCGAGTGTAATGTCCATTGATTTATGTGACAATATTTTCATGTATAAATTCCACACTGTCAAGAAGTGTATGACTGTTTTCATGTATGAATTCCACACTGCCAAAAAATGTATAACTCTTTTAATATATAAATTCCACATTGTTTTCATGTATGAATTCCACAATGTCAAAAATGTGTATGACTATTTTCATGTCTAAAATTTACACTGCCCAAAGTGTATGACTGATTTCATGAATAATCCATTACGCCAAAACACACTGACCAAACATGGACGTTGAATATGGAACTTAATGTAATACATACGAACTTGTTTACGAATTACTTAAGAGCAAGACAATAGACATACCAGAGATGCGATGAAGGAAGAAATGCAAGGAAGGAAAGGCCATAAAAGAAAAATGAAAAACACATAGAGATGCAATGTAAGGACCAAGAGAGAGATGCGGTTGCGCCAAAGAATCGAAAAAAAAAAGATTACATGAAGTGTTCACTATACTTGTGGATAGGGTTTTAGGTTATAAAATATTTGGGTTTTGGTCGGTTTGGGTCAGGTTCGGGTCAGGGTGGGTAAAATTATAAACTGACATCTGACCCGACCAAATGTCAGATTCAGCTGAAAAATTTCAAGTCAGGTTTAAATTATTTTATTCTCAATTCAAATTTGGATATTTTATTGTTTGATCGAGTCAGTTAAGATCGGGTTCGGATGGAATTGTCATCCCTGATTCCGAGAATGACAATCGATTATAAGGGCACTGGAAATATCCATGAAGCCCCGGGGCTTCAAATCTTCTCTCTCTGCCACGTCAGCTTTAACTTACCTCACAGTTTCAGTGGAAATGGGTTTGAAGCCCTGAGGCTTCAAACCTTCATTTTTTACATTTTAAATACACATCTTCTAAAATTAAATAAATTAAATTTAAATATTTAATTACTTAAGAGAATTGAAACGAGAACAGTTCGTTAAAAAATTGCATTCATTATAAAAAATTACATTCATTAAATAAAAAATTACATTCATTAAATAAAAAAATTACATTCATTAAATAAAAAATTACATTCATGAAAAAATAAAAAAACTTGAATAATAATTTTTTAAAAAAAGATGATAGATAGAGAGAAATTTGTATTTGTGTTGAATTTTAAAAAAAACTAATTTAATTTATAAAGAAGAAAAGAGGAAAAAAGAGGGAAAAAAAGAAGAAAAAAGGCATAATAACGGCCACAAATTACGTGAAAACTTTGACGCGGAAGTTTTAACGCGCCGATAACGAAGGAGGGAGCGGTGTTTAATGCCCCCAAGCGTCAAACAGAGCATAACGTGGGTGGGCGTTATGTCTATTGGCACTGCTCTAAGCATTTGTGTTTAGGCTTACGTTCCCCTCTAGTTAGCCAATAGTCACAACTTGATGTGGTGTTCTATACTTTTACAGATTTACTGTGACATCCCGTACTTCATTAATTACTCATATATCCCTTGGATCCGTCAACAAAAAAGGTCAAGAACCAGAATTTATTTTTATACAGTTGACTTTTTAAATCACAAAACCATGAACAAAAAAAGAAGAAGAAGTCGTCAACCGTAAAATGAATGCTGCTGCAATCTGCAAAGCAGCAGGAGCTCAAGAATCCAAACTGCCCAAGACCGGCGATCAGCCCGCCGGCCGGGCACAAGTTACTTAAGGTCAGGTCACTCAACCCTACAGGCGGCCGTGGAATCTCCCAAGACCACGTTTGGCAATGTCGAATAAATGCAGATCCTTTTTACTAAATTGAACTGAATATATTTTACACTCCAGTACAAAATGGAGCAGTTCTTTTTTTTTTTTTTAAAAAAAACAGCTACATTCACGTCTCTCAAAAAACAGAGTACCCACCCCTAACTGTTCTGTACCCTTACGGTTTAGGGCACGTACCCTACACCTAATGCTGCGCCTACTTCTTCTACTTAACATTGCATTCATTTAAAAATGATTATTTTTTGTTCCCACGTGAAAAGCAACACCACCTTTCCACCACCGCCCCTGTTTCAATTCCTCCTCCATCCCCACCACCTCTGACGGTGGTCCACCCCTCCTCCTCCTCCTCCTCGTTCCATTCCCCCTTTGCCCCTTCCGGTGATTCGAAACATAAATTTCTTACCCTTCTTAGAGGGGAACAGGAATAATATTCCTCTTTTGATCCCTCCTCCGTACGGAGGTGGATTGAGTTCGCCCATATCCCCTGCTCCAGGATGCTCGTCGGAGAACTCTTGTTCTCCGCCGGTTCTTCTTTAGGAATTGGATTTTTATGTCGGAGGAAGGGGTGCGTCAGGAGCTGCTCCGCCGTCCACCGATCTCCGGGGTTTGTTGTGAGGCATTTTCCGAGGAAGTCCTTCGCTTGGTCGGAGAGGAAACCCGGGATCTCCGGGGATTCCCCTGAGTGTGCAATGTGGTAGAGTAGCGATGCCGGGTCGGTGGCCTTCGGCCACGGCGAGCCGCCGCCGGTGGCCATTTCGATCACCGTGCATCCCAATGCCCATACGTCCGCCGGGAAGCCCTGCTCCTTCCCCTGCGCCGTCTCCGGCGACATGAACATCGGGGTTCCGCCGGCACACGCGTCATCTTCTCCCGCTCGTCTCGCGCATCCGAAGTCGGCGATCT